ATTTTCGATTACGAAGTCCGACGTAGTTCTAACGCAGCAGAGACATTTCGCGATATCAGTACTGCGTTTGGAGAAGATGAGACTAATGAACGCATTGTACCTTTTTGATTTAATCGCTTTTGTAGTGGAATTTTACTTGGAAGTTATTTATTCTGTGCTTGAAGTAAGGACCACAAGGAATATTAGACCGTAAATAACAATTACACACACACAAACACGCCTGTCACCCAGAGGGGTAGGCAGAGACTACGGACTTCCATTTGGCGCGATCCTGACACACCTTTCTTGCCGCCTTTACATCCATATATCTACGCATACACGGTCGTCGGTTAAGGGTACTCCTAATCTGGCCCATTTTCAATGTATCGCCGATTTGGTTGATAAACCTTCGTTTAGGGCCTCCCTTCCCGACCCTGCCGTTCACTTCTGCAACGTAAATTTGTTTTGTCATTCTTCCTACATGACCAAACCACCGAAGCATTCCTTTCTTAATCCTGGTCACAACGTCATCTTGCAAACCACACTTTTCTCTTATCACTCTATTTTTCACCCTGTCATTCAGATTCAGCCCTAACATACTCCTTAATGACCGCAATTCTACAGCATTTATTCTACTCTCATGCTTCTTCTGCCAGACCCAACTTTCACTACCATACATTAAAGTAGGGACTAACACAGCATTATGAATTGCCATACGTACCTTATTTGACACATTCTGACTCCTCATAATAGCGTGTAGAGCCCCATTCACTCTATTTCCTGCGTTCACTCGTAACAATTAATTAAAATTAATGGTGGAAGCCGAACTTTATCAGTCACCAAGGAAAAAGCGTCAAGGGTTGACGTTAACTTACCCACAATTTTGATTTATTTGCCCAAAATTTGTGAAATATATGTATATTATTTATATATATTGGAAAAATCAGCTATCAAAATATAGAATTAAGTCCTCTGTTAGGAAAAATTAAATTAATACCCGAATTTCGAAAAACCTATTACTATAAGTACTATTCGGGATTTGCTGCAAGTACAACGCTAATTTTCAATGCTCCGCTGTACATCGGTGTATCAAAGAAGAACGGAACGAATAGGCACAAACGCGCGCGAATGCTCATTTAATAGGAAGTAGGGATGGCTACAGAGACTAGACTTAAAATCACCGAGCACAAAATATTATCGAATAAAATTTATTTGACGAATTTTAACGTATTTAATTTGTCTTAATATTCCCGATATTTCTGGTAGTGGAAGTAATATGTCTCCATAGTAGGAGAAATTTCAAGTGTGTACGTAAAGTTTGTAGAAAAAACTATCCTTCACTAGATCACTACCATTCGCTGGTGTTCACTCTATTTGAACATAGGAGCACCGGTGAGCGAGCGTGCGTTAATCATCCAATCATCGATCGTGGCAGAAACTGCTACGCCACTACCTACTATGTCCCACAAGTCTTGAGAAATGTTACATTTGGCATATTCTTGAAAATGGCCTGCAATCGTAAACCAACAAAGAAGGTTGATAAAGAAAATTTTTTATACTCGTAACGGCCCCCAATAGACATGTGTCATTCATTCATTTCTAGTGACCATTCAAGTATTAACGCGTTTTACGAACCGGGGCATTTGGGTCGATCATTCAAATGGATCATTTATAATCATATAAGACACTCATACACACCCACGCACACACACAAACGCGCACATTCACACACTGTTTCTCTTTTGCTGAATATACTTAGCTAAGGAAGGACGAGGACCTAGCACAAGTATTTTTATACTTAAAAGAAGTCAGTCCTTAAACTTGTACTAATTTAAGGATATGTTGGAAACAATAAACTTTCATTTCAAGAAATAATAAACTTTCATTTCATTTAATTTCAGTACTCTGTGACTTGTGAGACCCGCCCGAACCCGATGACGTCGGACGTTACTTTACTCTTTGGTCCTACTTGGCGCGAACGCGCGCTTAGAGTATATGTTTGCATGTGCATGTATTAGAATGTAGTAGGAAAAAAATAATACACGATTTTGTGTCGAGAGATTAACTAGTATTTAAATTATTAAATTTGACGTTGACTATATTAAGAATGAATTAATGAAGTTTACAGTAAAGCCAATGGATCAATTGGACTTAATATCGAAAGAAAATTACAACCCACAAAAGTTGCTTTTGAGATACTGAAGTTTTTAAGTTCGGTATTCAGTGATAATGGCTGCCTTCAATCTCCTTACATTTTTATTACCGACTGCGATTTTTGCTAAAATATACTTTAATGCAGTTAGCATTAAAGTATAGCCCATACATATAATATACAATGTTTCGTTTTGTTAAAAACAAGTTTATCTAATTTTTTACACTAATGTGACTTGAATTAACATTTTAAAATATGGAAAAAAGTGAGCATTGCTACATAACTAAAACTGTTTTGTAGTCTTGCTAGATTTATTGGCTCTTTTTAAACCTTCTGAATTGTCACTTACGATTGAGAAATAGTGCTTTCCACGCACTTTTGAATGTCACAAACACATAACTGTTTTAGTCCGTTCTAGTAATCTATGAGAGTGTAGTCTATTTCTGGGGAGTCGTGTCGTAAGGATAAAATAACAGTATCATAGACCCGATAACTTTTTTTTTACCTCTTATAAGCCAGTGCTTGCCTCAATCCCACCTGGTGGTAAGTGGTGATGCAGCCTTAGATGGTAAATCGCACTGTCTTATCGTAACAAAAGCTTTTTCACTCTTGCCTTGAAGACGCCTAGATTGTATTCGGACGGAAAGATTTTAAAAAGAAATTATTCCACTTCTTTGCTGTACGCATTACAAAAGACGAAGCAAACCGTTTGGTTCTAATGCGTGGAATATCGACAACAAAGGAATGAAGACCCGCCGACCATCTGGTTGTCCGATGGTGAAAAGGAGAGGGAGGAATTAAGCCGTGTAATTCCTGCGCACACTCACCGAAATGCATCCTATAGAATACCGAGAGACTGGCTACTCTGCGCCTGTGCTCGAGGCTGACAAGATTGGTTTCAACCAAATTAAGGTCACCAGCACCAGCCCATATGTGACAGCAGTACTCCACGCACGACCGGACTTGCGCTTTACATAAGGTAAGAAGCTGCCCCGGCGTGAAGTACCGCCGCACCCTTGCAAGGACACCAAGTTTCCTTGCGGTTGCTTTGGCTCTGGACTCAATGAACCGCCCATAGTTTAGGTTCGGAGAAAATTCAATCCCTAACAACTGAAGGCGATCAGTGTACTCTAAGGATACATTCCAGAAAGTAGGAGCCAAGGTGAGCGGGCTCTTTTTAGCGGTAAAAAGACACGCTTGTGTTTTGGAGGCGTTAAATCTCACGAGATTGGCATCGCCCCATTCGGAGACTGCCTGTAGTGTGAGACTCACACGCTCAACCATAACCTCTCTTTCTGACTGGATTTGATCCCGACTGGCCCGGGTGCTTGGTTGGTATCTCTCCACAACTGTGCTGTCGTCTGCATACCCATAGACACCGGGAATGAGCAGATCATTTATATGCAGCAGGAAGAGAGTTGTGGAGAGAACGGACCCCTGAGGAACACCGGCGTTAGTCGCCACAGTATTGGATGAGCAGCCATTAACGACGACCCGGAGAGACCGTTCACTCAGAAAGTCCTTCACCCAGACAATTAGGCCAGAGGATAAGCCGTACGCTGAAAGCTTGCCCAATAGACTAGCGTGCCAAACACTGTCAAAAGCCTTCGAAACATCGAGGGAAACAGCAAGTGCTTCACCACTGTTCTCGAGGGCTTCGCCCCATATGTGAGTGGCATACGCTAGAAGGTCCCCAGTTGATCAATTTCGGCGAAACCCGTACTGGCGATCACTGAGGAGATCATTTTGCTCTAGGTATGCCATGAGGTAGGCGTTCAATATACGCTCCATAATCTTGCAGAGTATATGGAGGTTATTGAAATTGGCCGATAGTTGGCAGGGTCGGTACGGCTACCTTTTTTAGGAACAGGCTGCACATTGTCCAGCTTCCAAGATTTAGGCACTATTCCAGTCCTGAATGAGAGGCTCTAACTCCAAAAAGCTCTACTGCCAGATGGTTTGACAGAGAGCTTTGTGCCGATGCGTTTAATGCGGTCGAAACTGGCTTGGCGTAATGCCTTTTTGCAAGACTTGGCGGCTTGGTTAAAGGCTCTCTTCTTAAGGCTAACATCCGGAGCTTTACGGTCTCGAGCATCGACCCAGGATAAGTACGCTATATGCTTGTGCTTTTCAGTACGAGCGCACTCGGCGTTAAACCAAGGGCGAGCTTTACCACCAATGGGCACGTCAGCAAAGGGGATATGGGTCTCCAGAGGAGAAGCAGACCTGCCGCCAAGGATAAGATGCAAAGAAATGCCGCATCTCATCCCAATCTGCTGACTTGTATCGCTACATTCGTCGCACTCCGTGGAAATCGTAGTTAGGTGGGGAATATAACGACACAGATTTCACCAGACGGTGGTCAGAAGTTCCCAAGGGTGAGGTAACCTGAACATTGTACCTGTCTGGATCAGTCGTCAGCAGAAGGTCGAGGCAGTTGGCTGTGTGTCCATCCACATTAGGGACTGTTGTGTGCCCATCAACTGCTAACAAGTCATTTCACCGTAATGTACATAATATTGTTTGTATTCTCAAATTAAAAAGACTAATTACCCTCGAGGTTGCAAATGCTATCGTACATTTTGCGGCTATCAGATATCTGTACTCGTATCTTATAACAACATGCAATTATAGAGGGCTTTCATTAGAGTTTCTGCTATGCGCTATGCTATGGTAGAGGCCTGAGTACTGTAACGACGTATAATAGGCTGTAATGATAAAAATGTTAAATCGTGATGCGTTAAAAAATCTAAAAAGAAAATATATTTATCTAAAAATCTAAACGTCACTCAACTTTTAACATTCATAAATCAAACTAAAATAAGGGTGTATGAAGGAATTGACAAATTGGTATTTTTTATAATTTCAGATGGTGAGGGCGATGTCACTTTAGAAAACAAGGAGGAAGATACTGTAGAAAACAGTTACGAAGAAGAGGAAGAAGAGGACGAAGAGAAGGAAGAAGAAGAAGAAGAGAAGAAAAATCCAGTAAACAATGATTTTGCGAATATATTAAAAAAACTCGAATCTGTAGGAGCTCTCTTAAAAAAACCTAAAAAAGAAGAAGAGTATCGCTGTTTTACTTGTAACAAAGATTTCTCAAATTGGGACAGTTTAGAAAATCATTTAATACAACACGTGTCTCTGCCCTCAGTGGTGCTTGACAAGCTGCCGTCAGACGAAGAAGACACGGCTCCTTCCGGAGATGAAAATTGGTCCGACGAAGATGTACCTCAGCCACCACAAAAATCCGATCCGAAGAAAGCGCCGCAAAAAGTAGATATATCTCAGATTTTAAAGAAAACTGGTTTATCTATTAAAAAAAAAGGGGACACCGATAAAAGTTCTGATGCTGCCTTAAACAAATTGAGTGGCTTGGGTTTTACCATAAGGAAAAATTCAACTCCTATTAAAAAAGAAAAAAATGATGAACCTGAACAACAGAACGAAAGCGATCTTATGAAAAAGTTAGGTAAACTAGGGGGCATTAAATTGAAGCTTAAATCAGATGGCAACAATACTAACACATTTAAAGTAATAAATGGCTTAAAAGACTTTAAAGCATCCGATGATGAAGATGAAGGAAGTGAAAACGAGGATAGCAAAAACGATGAAGATTCGAGTGAGGAAATTAAACATAAAAATGAAGAAGAAGATTGCAATCAGGAATCTGATGAAGAACAATGCGTTAATAATAGTCGTAGGAGTTCTGAAAATAGTGAATCTGGAGGAAGTAACAGAGGTAACCAAATCAAAAATATCAAAACGGAACCGATCGCAACTCCAAAAAGAGTAGGTCCAGCTAGCAAAACATCTAACGAATGTTCTAGTAAATCAACAAAGGAACCACCAGCAAAGACATCTGTTAATGACAATCAAGTAAAAGCTAAAGAATCATCTAAAACAACTGCTTTAGAAACACCTGCTAAGCCTTCTAGAAGACCGTCAGTCAAACAAACTCCGAAAAGAGGAACTAACAACGCTCAACCGTTAAAGACCCAAGATCAACCACAAGCTATTAAAAAGGATTCATCACCAGCAAAAGAGGTACAAACAGCAACGCCAGAAAGGCGAGAGTCAAATAATGACATCAATCTTGAGAATGTTGTAGTGAAAAAAGAGGTACCAGAGCCAGTAAGCTCAGAGTCACAATCGTTAAGTACACCTTTATTCTCAGCCCAAATTAAATCTGAAAGATCTTCGCCGATTCCACCAGATCGAGCAGTTACTCCAGTTATAGCTAGGGTTAAAACAGAACCGGATGTTCCTGCCACTACTAGTTCTCAACCAATTTTTAGTTCATCAAATGTAACAAGTGCACCAGTTACTCCTCTGCTTCCAGTTACTAAAACAGAGGATACAAGTATGACAATAATTGAAATCAACGGTGATTCTAATGATGAAGATGATGATTGCTGTGTTGTGTCTTCTACGCCTGCTCCTGACGTAAAACCGGTTATTCCGAAAACTGAGAATCCATCACAACCGCCACCACCTGCGTACCCAACACCAATGTCTTATCCAACTTCAGCACAATCAAGTTATAACACAGCTCCATCACTTTCCTCTCGACTTTCAGCTACACCATCTACAGAAAAACAACATAACTTTAATTGGAATGCCCCAGACTCGAAACCACCAATAGATATGCTTGAAAAAAGTGCTGATGAAATTTTCGAAAGCCTTCTTTCATCATCTACTAAAAAAGAAAATATGTCATCACTGTCGGACGCAAGTGAATACATATCACTCGATACATTAGGCCCACAGCATTCATGTGAGGTCTGCAACACGAGATTTACTGATATATCACTTCTTGAAGAGCATAGAAGAATTTCGGGCCATTCTAATAGCCTAATGAATGCATCGTCTTCCACACTTATGCCATATAATCCCACATCGAATATTTTATCTAGCCTGTTACCAGTTAAACAGCTAGCAGAACAAGTTGGAAAGTTGTCTACTATTGGAAGCAGCAGTTCAGGCTTTACACATCAGCAAAATGTAATGATTAATATCCAAGCTTATCCTGGAGGAGGAGGAGTTATGGTACCGCCGCAACCCTACAACGCATACGCTTCACCGCAAGCAGGGTACCCTCAATCTCCAAATAATATGTACTCGTCCCCAGGACAGACAATGCCAGGCCAGTATCCAGGCTCTAATTACGCTCAATCTAATTATGGCCAGTATCCGTCGCCTATGTCAAAGGCCGGTTATCCAGGGGCAATGCCGCAAAACATTTACTCTAATGCACCTTCACCTTATTCAACTGCTTCTCCACTTCAGAGTATGCAGCAATCTGTATATGGCCAAACTACTCCCGGTTTACATAATCAACACACTGTTATGGGACCCCCCGGCTCCTCGCCTAGCCAAGGTTACGCGTCTGCTCCTAGTCCTAGCTCGAAACAATCGCCAAGCAACATCAGAATTCAGAACGTACAAACCTTTCCTCCTGGTCAAATAGTTGGTGGGTCAGCACAATCTATGAATAATCAAACAATGGGTCAAGTTATGGGATCTAACCAACAACATATGCATGGCCAAGAAATGTCTTCAGGGCAGACAGTCCCAGGGCAAATTACAGCACCTACTCAAATTCGAATGGCAGCGGGTGCTAATGTAACAGGTTCGAGGCCGCGAATGCCGAATATTCGAGGTACACGACCATCTATACGACCTGGAATACAAGTTCATGGACAAGTTAGAGGTGCAGTAAAACAAGGGCCTCGTATGCCATTAAAAAGGCCAGGAACTATAGTAGGTGGACCTGTGCAGAAGAGGCGACCCGACATGTTGCTTCCTGGCAAGCACGACAACGAGGACTGCCAAGTAATGGCTATGCAAAAGCAACGCGATGGATTGCCCATGATTCAGAGTGTGCAAGGTGCCAAAGATAAGTTGAATCTCGGTAGTCAAATTTCTATAACGAAGAAAACAGTGAATAAGGAAGCAAATGCGATGGCAAATGTGTTAGCATCTAGGGGTATTAGTGTGAAGCAAAAGCAGAAAAGTCGGTCGCCCTCGCCACAACGACCCCTCCCTAACATACCTAATCTTGGCGCTGGTGTCAGCATTAAACATTCTTCAAAGTCTAGCAATTTTTCAATACCAGAAGCAAAAGTTGGTGGTGGTATGATGGCATGCAAAATATGCAAGAAAATGTTTATGAACTCTACATCTTTGTCGGTGCATATGACGAATGCTCACCCACAAAGCAAAATACCTGTGTTCAAATGTGACGAATGTCCAGCATCTTACCCGAAGTCATTACAGCTTCAGCACCATAAAAGGGTATTTCACAATGTTTCCGGTCCTAATAGGGAGTTAGGATTGCCAGTTGTAGATTTATCTCAAGAGGATAACTTAAAACGATTGAGTAGCTTAGGTATATACAGTTTTATTCCACTTGCAAATCGGGAGCAAGCAAATGGATGCTTTGGTATTCCAGTGATATCGGTGCACAATGTTCAGAATGGTATGACGAGTAGTTTGCAAGCGCTTGGTGCTGATGGACTTTTAAGCCTCGGACCTCTCAAACCTTTACCAAATTCATAAAATATTAAAACTCCATTAAGTGTGTTTCTAATATAACAATTTACATATGCATAACATAATGTTATCTTTGTTTTAATTTGTCTTTAAAGTATTATCTGAAATTTCTTCTGAATTGATTATCATTATGTAAAATTAGAATATTTATTTATTCATAAAAATAATGCATTGCAATTCTCAGACAATACTTATTACCTAATTTAGTTTTTTTTTTTAGATATATCTATTTTTAGTTAAAACTAACTAGTATGTCAAAATTTACAAGTAAGATTTAGTAAAAGAGTGAGTTGATTAAATTGCGTTTTTAGTTTGTTCATAATTTTTTAAGTACTGAATCATTGTTGTCAGTGTGACTGTTATGTTTTTTTGCAATCCATTAAATATAAGGATATATTTTCTTATGTGTACAATTTATTAAGAGGAAATACATAAAAAAATGTATTTTGTGTTAACAATAATTACTACTAAAATGTCTCATTATTAAATCTGATAGATTTAAGTGCAATTTAATATAACAGATGGAAAATTGATACAAAAATAAACCACTAGTCAAGGAAAAATTTCGGAATGGATTCAAATATTATTTCGAATTCAAGTCATCAAAATGGAAACTTGATTTTCAAATTCTATAACTGTAGATTGTGTTTCCTTGATTGTTAATCATTATTCGACTATAAAATTTGTGATGATCATGTAAAGTTAGTAAGAAGCAGTTGAAACACATCTCAAATAGCATTGTAGGAAATTATTGATGCATCTCAATGATTATAATTAGGCTTTTGGGCTCTCAACAGTGGTCATGTTGTATGTCAATGTCATTATTATGCGTAGAATACAGTAGAATCTGTAAAAAGCGATTTTCAAGTACACGACCAGATTATTTGTCGTGTTATGTTTATATGTACATACGATTCTGATTAAATAATATTATGCATGTAATGAACGAATGTAAAAGATTTATTTTTAAAAGATAATCTATTTTATTAATATAAACGCAGTATAGTAATTAATACGTAATTCTTTTTGGAAACCAGCTTTTTCAGGAGGCTGGAAGTCGTCGGGTCTTCGTGCAATACGATTCGTTATGACTATCGAAAACGGCACAGTAATGAACAAACAATTTAGATCCTTTAGTAGAAAATATAGGTGGACAACAATAGTATTATTATTGTAACTGACGTAAAGTCTCTATCTTTAGATGGTTTTAGATTGATATTTGTTTGCTATCAAAGTATTTTGATATTACGATGGCGGGTTTGTCTTACGAGTGCAGGTGCGCATTTACATTATTTTATTGTGTGTAAACTCAACATTCAAAAATTGTTCCGTGAAAATAGCTCCGTGACTAAGCATTGGATTGCGGCATTAAGCACTGTGGGTTCGAATCCTGCACGGAACAAGTATTTGCCCCATATAATACAGCTATGTAGATATATACAGGAGAAAATTCCAGTAATGTTTTCTTTAAAGAACAAAAAAAAAGTTGTTCGCAGTGATGTAATAAAAAGTGCTATGTCCTAAGCAACAAAGCGTTAGTTTGATTTTAATATGTAATAATTTGTTTCTAATTACGTATTGATTATTTAGGTTTATTTAGCCGTGTAATGATAGCTAGGTTAATATAGACTTATTATCACAAGACTATACGAACTCATGCAAAGTTATCACGTTCAGAACTTTGATTTAATTGTAAATGAGTTTCTTTTGTTGCAAATGAAAAATAATTTTATTTCATACATAGCTAAACGTACTTTAGGTTATATATTTTGTTAAATAACGACGGGCTGAATAACACTACCTGCAGTTATATATAACTTGTGTGTGATGAGTATATATCTGTATACACAAGCACGTGTGTCCCTAACAACTACAAGTAAGGCTCGCCCGCCTTTGTGAGATAAACCATCTATAAGTATTGTGTCATAATCGACATTTGTTTGCGCGAACACAAACACGGCCTTACTCATAAAAAACGATGTCAATTTAAGAAATGCTTAAAGTTGCGCTCTCTTCACAAAATGACAATAGAAAGTAAACGGTATAGAAATAATGTAACACCAAATGGTACGTTCCATCTCAAAAACCTGTAACTTTTTGTTTCTTGACATTTTAAATTGAAATTTTGTGTACGTATTCCTGAATACTTATGCTATTAGATAATTAAAACACCGCTACTTTAAAAACTATATATATTTAGTAAAAAATTGAAAAAAAAAATTTCATACAAAAATTATTTTTTTATTGAAATAGTTCTCACAGGAATGCTGTTAATAATACTGATTATAGTTACCACAACAGATAAGACGCATATGCAACATCGTTTAAAAAAATATTTCTCATAAACACGTAACATACTTGTAAACTAGAGATCCTGAGCATTCCAAAATGTATATAATACTTATATATTTCCTTGAATAACAATATCGAAGTTCAAATTTTGGATCTAATTTTATACCTAAAATTGATTATTACTATTTTTTACCATTAAAATATAAAACAACCAAAAAGGTTTCAGTAATACGAGTTTAGTCCAAACCATTTTTAAATGGAACGCACCGTTTGGTCCTATAGTGCAGCGTGGCGACCATGCAACCAGCGATTCACACCTGTGACAGTTTTTTCTGAAGTGCCGGTTTAGTAGTATAAATAGAAGTTTAGTTGTTTTTTTTTTTGAGTGAAAACCTAACTTTAGTTTGCATCTAGGTCGCTAAAAATGTTTGGTCGTTGTGAACGAAATCTTAGTAAACAGATTCTACTGTATTCGCATTATTACTTAAGAAAATATTTTAACATAGTGCTTTGTATATTCGCGCAAAAGTGAAATTTTTTTGAGTTGATTATCTATACCTACATCGAGTGATGTACATTTTTCCTCTCAAGGGAAATTAGAGATTGGTTGTTATGGTATCTAAACGACTATATATTAGGAGTATGATTGTGTCACAAAGCTAATTTTTAGTGTATATTATATCAATTAAACAGATGAGAAAAAATATAAGGACATTAAAAATTTGTTTTATTTTTTATAATTTGAGAGTATTATTTAAAAGAGAATCTATTAAAATAATATGTCCGAAGCCAGAAGACGGTTAACGAATAAAACTGTTTAAAAAGATATATCTCGTCTTTTTTTGTATTGTGATGTTTTTAATATATTGTATATGTTACGGCTGATAGTTTAAATCCTACTAAAACAAATGTGAAAAGGGGGTCAAGTTCGGTATAGGAACGACCGCCGATTGTAGTTTGAACGGATTCCAAACTCCTTAACAATTCTAAAAACGTTGTAGGTAAGGTCGATGGAGGCTATTGCAACTGTGGGGCTAAAGCAACCAACAGCGATATCTTCCATTCTCATGTTTTTTAATACACTGCCATCTACGGGCCTGCAGAAAAGTCAAAGTATAACCTGTTATAAACAGATGGCGTCAAAGTGATGAATACTGTTTGACTTATAGAGCTGTTTTGTTAGTCGCCATTTTTACCACGTGTTTGGAGACGAGTGTGTCATCAAGTTTTAACAAAAAAAAAAAATACTTTTCGTGCATTTTACGCAAGGTTTTATGCAGAAACGAAGAAAAAGTAAAGGTAAGTACTCTATACACTTATGTTTTTAACGGTATATCTTATATTTCGTAAGATAATTTAATAGTTACATTAGCCTCAAATTATCTTGTTGCGGGGTTATTGCGACTAGTTTTTTTTGGTTACAATAGCCCCTTCGTGTTTGTATCAAAACATAAAAACCAGTGATGTCGAATATCGATAATTGTAAATCGATATATTTACAGCATAGTTTAAAAATTCTCGAACTGAATGCGTAAATAAATATAATAATTTGTTTTATTACAATTTCAATCAAGATTTAAATCTATTTTCCTTTCAAGATGGAAATACTATGATTAAATACTGTGGTTAAATACATTTAGTTCAAACGAATACATTTAGATCAAAACTTCGCGCGTACTATACCTACTCATACTACATATCTTAGAAACTTTGAACTAATTTGATATCTGACTTGTTTTAGGTGGTCCGAAATTATATTAAGAAAAAAGAAAAGAGCTATTCAAAAGAAAAGCTTCTAGAGGCACTGGAGTTGGTTAAAAGCAAAACGTTAAATAGTTATGAGGCAGCAAAATCGTTTAATATTCCCAGATCTACTATAATTTCACATTTATATGGCACACGCGGTCAAAAACAGGTAAACCCTGGAATGAAGACTGTATTTTCAATTGATATAGAGCAAAAAATGGCTTCGTATTTGCATACTTTAGAAAAGTATGGCTTTCCTCTAACTAAAAAAGAAGTCAAAATACTAGTATCAGATTACGTCGTAAGAAACGGATGGATAATTCCATTTAAGAATAATATTCCTGGAGATGATTGGTTTCGTCGCTTTTGCAAAAGAAATAATTTATCATTAAAAAAACCTCAATCAATCGAAATAGCTAGAAGAAAAGCCTGCAATACTTTGAATTCTCAACCGGAAAATAAAAACCTCAATTATTGTAAAGCTTCAAATCAAACAAAAAACAAGATGCAAAATTAAGAGAACGTAAATAATTACAATATTGAACAACAGGATAATTCGATACACTGTCTTGATCAGAATAAGAAACCTAAAAATATTGAAATAAATCAAATACTAAGAGTAAAAAAAGAAACAAATAAAGAAACAAGAACCAAGCATTAACACAATCCTGTAACAAAAATGAAACAACTCATGAACAAGAAAAACAAAAAGAAATCACGTTTCTAAAAACCGTAGGACCCTCGAAAATTTAAACTACCGCTTCGAAGCTCTAACAGAAAAAAATACTTACTCAAATAAAGTTCAGATTTTTGGAAACGAGTTAATTCAGGCAGCAAATACCTTTAACAAGATTAATGAAGAGGACTTTAACGTATCTTTTGAAGAACTTCTGTTAAATTCAATAGCTCACAATGACCCTCCAAAAAATAAAAAAAGCGTGACGAGAGCAGCGGAGATACTAATTTATCAGGAAGATTTTGATAGAATAAAAAAAGAACAAAGAAACTACAAAAAGATAAAAAAGCAAAAAAGAATAAAGAAACAAAAATTAAAAAGCAAAATAAAAAGAGAAAAAGAGGCATTAAGAGAAATACTAAAATAAAAAAAGAATCATTATGAAACTGACAGCAACAGCAGTTGTTCCTATCAATCAGATGATATATCACATGAAGACGATACGACTTTTTGGGAAAGCTTACTAACTGCAGAACTTACCGATGATTTAGACATCACTGATGAAACCAATGAGCAATTTTCTGAAATCGCGTCTACTTTGACAGAAATAGCATCTGCTTCAAAGGAAATAGTAACCACGCTTAAGGCTATGCCATCATATTTGGAAGAACCTCAGGTCCCAAAATTCCCAGAAGAAGGCACTTTTGTTTTAGCGAAATTTAGTTCTGCGCGGGGCCAAAAGACTTACAAATATGTATGCCGTGTACAAGACATCTCAGATAACAAAATTGTAGTTACAGGGCTGAAATCATACAAACAAAAAAACACGTTTCGTATAATCAAAGATGACATCTCAATTATTGGTTTGAAAGTTATTGTTACTTATCTTCCACAACCAGAGCGCTTAGATGGAGAACTATTTAAGTTTCTTAATAATATTGATGTGTATGAAGTATAATTTTTGTTGTGTATCTATCTGTATTTAGAATTAAGCAAAAGTCATTTTTTTAGAATCTCATAAGAAAATGTGATAAATATGTGATATTAATTTAGTATCTATAAGTAAAGTGAAGTTAATTTTAATAATATTATTGTAGAATTTAAACATTACAATTGTGATAAAATACTAAGTGAAGTTAAACCAAAGTATAGGTTCCTATTATTTTTGTATTTGTCTTTAAAATTAATTACTCTACTTATTTTAGGATCTCTCAACTATAGTTCAAAGTAAAAACAAACTTAATATAGCAATTTAGAAGAAAAATGTTGCCTTATAGATTTTAAATAATTTGAGATAATTTTTTGTTATGTTCTTAGAAATTTTCGTATTATGTTTTGAGAAGTATCTGAAACTTCTATTTTTATATGTGATGATTAGGGAATAAAAAATAAAAACGACGCATGGTTTTATATTACTTAGGTACTTATTAGTATCGATTGCCTACACCTTTAACAATTTATCGATATTTTTTACGTCAACACAACACTATTTCTATAGAAAATAGTCACATTAGCCCCAAACATTACGAATCATACTTTTAGTTTGATTGGGACTCCACTGGTTCAACTCAGAGAATATGCCTGCGTAAATTTCACACTGGGTGACATGTGCTTCGATTGTGAGCAAATATGCTACATAAACCAATGAGTTAGTTTAGATAGTCGCATTTACCCCAACATGGGACTAATGTAACTTTTCCTGTCTGCATGGAACTTTTAATAATATTTTAACAAAATCCTACAGCTTTTTGACATTATATTAGGTCGAAAATAATCTCAGATACATGCTTAATTATATAGATATGATAGATTACCTCATAAAGTCAAGTAGTAATTTTTGGTGAAGGTTCAATTTTCAAAATATATTTTTTTAGTTGCAATAGCCTCCATCGACCTTACCTACATTTCTACAGATCCTTACGAGGGCGGCACTGAAAATTTCAGGAATCAAGGAAGTGACACAACATTACTATTTAAAAATGTATTTATTGCTTTTCGAAGTATTCTCCGCGAAATTTGACACATTTTTCCATACGATGAAACCAATCATTGAAGCAACCATTCCATTCGGAAGTTGGAGTCTCCAAAATGGCCGTTTTGTAGGTGTCCACAGCTTCTTCAGGTGATGAAAATCTCTGTCCACGCAATTTATTCTTTATTTTAGGGAAAGTATAGAAATCATTAGGGCTTAGGTCGGGGCTGTACGGCGGATGGTCTAATAATTCTGTTTTCTTGCTCTAAAAACTTGTTCTGTGTGCGGTGTGAGAACTCGCATTGTCGTGATGGAGGATGATGCGGCGGTTGCAGTTCTCTTTACGGAGTTCAGAAACGACCTGTGCGTATTATCAAGAAAGCCCACGTATAATTGTGGACTACAAAACCCTACCTCTACATTGTGCATGTAGTACACTACCTCCACACGCACTTGGCCAGTTTTTTTTTAAAATAGAATATGGGTGACAAAAGACCACACTGTCCACCTGATGGTGGGTGGATGCTGATATCTACATTTTATATCAAATAATAATCAAAATGCTGATGCGTTGTCATCCCTGAGGACTAATATGGAATGCCTCGTTTCTAGTAAAAAGGGTCGCCGGTTCTATACTCACTCATAGGAAACTCTGCAGCATTAAGCTGTTATTTTACGCTGGTATTCTGTGAGAGCGTGGTCCTACCCCGGTCGAGCCGACCCATTCGTGCTGCAACCATATCTAACACAGGGTTATTTTGCAATAACCGGCCAAATTTACAGAGAAGTTTCAGAATAAGTTTAATTTGGTATAATTTCAAATAAAAGTAGAAGCCTTATTTACTCGTATTTTCAAAAACTGCAATAAAGTAAGTTTAAAATTTGGTTACTCTTTGAAAAATAACCCTGTATAGCTGCAGAGTGGCTCTACCATGTATAAAATTGTCTATATAAGTACCTGATAAACTTTTCCTTATGTTAGGTGCAGTTTTGAGCGTAGGCTAAATATTAGCATTTTCGTGCTAAGCCGTCGACTTGTTTAATATCTCAGCCTTTCGGCTAAAAATGTAGAAACAAATAAAACATACAAATACAAGAAAAAACTACCAAAAAAGCAAGTGGTTATGCATTCCATTCCATACACGTGGCAAATATTACTAATAAGTTAACATAAGGTCACAAGGGAAACCTAAAGTACAAATAAAACGAAAACAATGTCTAAACACAAACTAACTTTAAATAAAAATCAGATCGAATTATTTTTTTAAAGATTAAAACAATCTGAATCTGAAGAAGTCAGTCATTCATTGTATAGAACCGTAGATTATTTTTATTGGTAATAATGAGACATTCTATCTCAGTCCTCAGGGGTGACGATGCATCTACATTTTGATTGTAAATCTAGAACAGATGTAGGTTTTGTGT